GTCTTCGGAACCTTACCCTGTCTTAAACAGGAAGAGGAATGGGTGGAAGCTGATAATATTTCTTCACTGAGTTCAAGACAGGGAAATGGAATAATCTGAACATGAGTATGATAAGACTACGATGGAGTTTGGCCTATTAAAAAATAGAAGAAAAAAGAGAGACATACATCTGAAATCCTGGTCCTGTTCAATGAATGCAAATTGAGAAACTGAGGATGCAGGGTTCCATAGAAACTAGATCCTCAGACAGCTGACAGCAAACACCCAAAAAGCTTATTAAATGGAGATAAACCCATCTGTTTACATTTGTATTTACCTGTTTCTACAAACACATATACACAATTATATTGTGTACTACAGGAATCCTGTCATAGTTGCACCGTGTGTTTGACAATGTTATCTGAGCTCTGAGGTGGAAGAAGTACCACCGGACGAGCAACACGAACCAGCTAAATTCTCAGGAGTGGTGCAGAATAGCAGAGTGCCTGATGCCCAAGAGACTTTGTTATATATATCAATGTAGTAAGTCCTTTGACATCTCTTTTCACCCAAGAAAGAGTCCTATGTGGTTCAGCACACAAACCTTCAGACCCAAATTCAAAGAACTTCTCAAAGCCTGTTCCTCCACCTTTGTAATTCAAAGCAGCAATAAAATAATCCAGTTGATGTCTGAGAAACTTAGCCCACAATGAATTTCAAGTAGTCTGAGTAACTGCATTAATATAGGTAGTCTTCATACAGTCCTCTGAATTTACTTATGATGCTACTTATCCAGTACTAGAATCAACACTAGGTTGTTGGTTGCTTTCTTAAAGGGTTTGTTGTTTGTTTTTTTTGAAATAAAATCACAGAAATTAACTTCTTGCATAAATATTTACTTGCTAGTCACTGTTCCTGCAATGGAGGAGCAGTGCAGGCAAGTAATTTCTATTACTAGAAATAATATATATACTAGAAATATATATCTCTCTCATATATACTTTTATGTCAAGTATATACACTGAAATATCTTGCATGCAAAGAACTGTTTAAGTGCACCCCTAACCTCTCCATACATCATATTAATCTGTTTTTAAACAGATCAAAGAGTAGCTGAGAGCAACAGAACAATGTCTCATCAACGTTGAAGCAGTTGAGCAATTCCACAATTCCCGTCTGTTTTCCTGGAAACATGCTTCCTGCAAGTGTCATTGACAACTGGGAACTTTAAACACTATTTCCGCTCTTCAGAAATACTGAAAGACATTTGTCCTACATCTGTTAAAATACCAATCTTTAAGAACTTACCATAAATATTTACAGATTCCCACTGTGTCATTAGCATATTTATTTGAGCTGCATATTAAGCAACAAGGTACTTAAAATGTTAAGTTTGCTGCTGAGAAAGGTTATACTAACGAACTAGAAAGCTGCTGTACAACCCAACACAAGATTATCTTAATAAATGTAACAGGGTATACAGAAATTCAACCCCACGCCAAGATACTCCATGCAATGTTACTTCTCAAAAGAAATTACTTCATGAGGAGACTTTTCCTCACTGAAAAAAAACCATAAAGAATCTTTGCATATCGCACAAAGTCATTCTTAACATGAATCACATCTTCTAATACGTGACTCACATACCAAGACAGGCAGATTGTCACAGACCCAATGCTGGTCAAGCCCTTGCTGGAGTTGGTGTACAGTTCTTGCAAATCTGGAGCCACCAAAACTTTCTCGTTTAGCTACACAATAATAGCTGCAGTATTTCTGCTGGTATGCTGGACTGGAATAATACAGTCAGCTCTAAGACAGTATCATTCAAATATTAACCACAATATTTTTGGAATGAATTACATATTCCTATTTTGGCAAAAACAGATTTGTACAGCTCACATTAGTGCCTTTAAAAGTAGGAAGGTATCTAATTACACATTATACTAATCAGCTTCCAGTAAGCATAAGTCATACTGCAAAAAACATCTGTAATGATTACTTGCATGTACTGAAGAGTTGTTACCCATTTAAATATTAGAGGCTGTGTTAAAAAGATCCAGGAAATAATTTTATAAATGCATATTTTGTACATAGACTTTTCACGTGTTCTCATTCACAGTGTAACAAGAAGTGTTATGCAATACCAGAAAGTCAAACCAAAGAGAAACAGCACAACTGCTCTCCTCTTCCAGACAGGAAGCAAAGGCCTGGGTTTTTATCTTCTTTCAGCCTTCATTACTCTCCAGTGGAGTCATTAGACAAGCAAAGGCATTTGACAAGACCAATCAGTGGCTCACAGCTGGTTTCTTGGGTTCCCCTGGTCAGCAGGAAAGCCGTGTGCCTTATTCCTCCAACTCACCTTTGACATCTAGCTGAAACACAGGGGCTGGGGTGCCAGGTAAGCAAGGACCCCTCAGGACCAGGTATTGCAGCCGGAGCACTGATGGAAGGATTTTGTAGTAAGAATCCATTTGCATAACTCTCTGCATCACAGTTCGGATCCTGGTAAGCTAACCCTGTTCTCCTGTTATTTCCACTGTAGAAATACTTCATTTTAGGATAATTTCAATTAAATAGAGTACTTTTGGTGAGCTAGCTTAATTCCTGCATTCACACAAGACCATAGTGAAGAACTGTTACAAGAGAGCTATTCACTAATTTGTCCCACTGAGCATAACTGTCCTTTTCAACAGCTTTCTCTTGACTTTAAGTCAAAAAGAAGTAATTCTAATTGCAAAATAAAGGCTACTTCCAAAATATACTGTGTTAAGGAGCCAGGATCACAGAAATGAACCACTTCTTTCCAACTTAGAAGTTATATATATATACCATAGTAAAAAAAAATAAATAATTATAGGACCTATACCATTTTCACATCTTAAAACATTTCTTTATTAGTGGATTTAAAAATTAAACTTACAGATAAATAGATACATAAGTGAAAAACCTTTACAGCAACCTGTAAAGCTGCTAATTGAAGTAGAATTATATTATTCTGTTTCTTCCAATAGTGCATTAATTAAGATTTGGAGGTCCTTGGGACAAAACTCTGGAGATGCTAAAAATTTACCAGAGCAGAAAGCAATGAGAAGAAACTTGTTGAAGAAAAATCTTTCAAGCACTTCTAAACACAGGGCCAAAGCTTGCAGGAGCTTGGGAAAAGTATAATGGAGGAAGTACTGCTACACGCTTTTAGTATTTGTATGACACTTTCCCAGCCACATGTTTCGGGAAGTTGTCAGAAGACTATAGGGCTAGGAAGATCACAGAATGGTTTGGGCTGGAAGGGACTTAAAAATCATCAAGTTCCAACGCCCCTTGCCATGGGCAGGGACACCTCCCAATACAGCAGGTTGCTCAAAGCCCCATCCAGCCTGGCCTGGAACACTTCCAGGGATGGGGCATCCACAACTTCCCTGGGCAACCTGTGCCAGTGTCTCACCACCCTCACAGTGAAAAATTTCTTCCTGAAGTCTAACCTAAACCTACCTTCTTTCAGTTTGAAGCTGTTATCCCTCATCCTACCAGTATATGCCCTTGCAAAAAGTCCCTCCCCATCTCTCCTGTAGGCCCCCTTCACATACCCGAATGCTGCTATAAGGTCTCCCCGGAGCCTACTCTTCTCCAGGCTGAACAACCCCAACTCCCTCAGCCTGTCCTTATAGGAGAGGAACTAGCATTGATGTAAAGGCATCCAAACACAAATAAATGCTCACACACCCCTCACCCTATTTTTTCTAAGACAGTTTATCTGGATCCCTTATATACATACGACATGTATATATGCAATCCAACAATACACTTCTCCCAAAATAATTCAGGAAGAAAAACCTTTACAGCCATAAAGTATTTATCAAACTAAATGCAAAATCAAGTAAGATCTAAGCCTTCTGCAACTATGTAAAACAAAAGCCTCCTTCAGCATTACTGTATTGAAATGAGTTTATGATTATTCAATTAATTCTTTTGAAGAATCAAATTTTCTTTACTTCACAAACAACATGACTGTGAGGCGGAGACATGATAGCATCCAGGAAAAAAAAGAGCAGGGGGCTTTGGAGGGGTTGTTTTGTGTTGGGTTTTGTGGAGGGGTTTTTTGCAGGGTGGTGGTGGTGGTTTGTTCTTTATACAAAAAAAGAATTACAATAACAACAAAGATTTTAAAACTAAACAATATAGCAAGATTCCTAAAAGTTATGCACCACTTTCACTGAAATACCATGATTTTACTTTCTCTTTTCCTTTCTCCAAACAATGTCTTTTTCAGACATGTTTTGAGTAGCTGGCTTCCTAAAAAAAATATTTCCATTTCTAATCTGTTCAGCTGGTTGAAAGAAACCATCCATTTCTTGTTCTCATCCTCAATCCAAACTAAAATCTGAAGAGATGGAGACAAAAGCTTCCCAATCCAAACAAAATAATGGATTCTGGCACTTTTGCCATCTAAGCCACACAAAGACACATAGAAATTACAAGCTGATCTCGCAACTTTAGTGAGGCATTGATTGCTGCAAGCCCTCTTCCTCAAAATAGCTTTAAAATAAAGGCTCAGATGAAACTGATATCTTAAGTATATGCTGTTTAATGGTTTTTTACAAGACTTTAATATGAGAACAGATTGGAGAATAACTTCTTTGTACAGTATCCCTGTTTCAAGTTAATAGCACTAAGCCAAATCTTTAGTAAGAGCAAGCAGATTTTTAATGGTCATATTTGCTAATTTACCACAGTAAGGTTCTCCTTGCTCCTCCCAATACAATTTTTTAATATTTCAATTGCTTTTTCCACATCGTAACATCCTAATTAATGCCTTAGCAAAGATGCTGTTTATTCTGATTTTCTGGGATAACAGCATTACTTTAATCTCTGTTAAAAGATACCCTGTTGTGTTGGCAAAAATGAAAAACCTAAACTGTGCTGTAGTTTACGCACACAACTATACAATGTAGTACTTCATCTGTTCACAAGCACAATGTTTGCTTTTTTAATTTCTAAACTCATAAATAATTGTAATGCTTTACCTGTGATTTCATCTCATAAAGGGTAGCATCCTCCGGAGTTAACTGAAGTGCTTCATCCCACTTGTGAATAGCTTCTCGGTACCTGTAGTTAAAACAATATTACAGTCTCACTATATTAAAAGATATTTCTATTTATATCCTGAGATTGTCCTAAATAAAGTGCCACGGCATCTCATTAGCATTAATAATTTTTCTAACCACTTCCCTGTAAGATATGATGAACTGTTTTCAGGAACTGGCTATTTCTTCTTCTGACCAAATGGATGCCAAGTACAACCAGCCTTAAGTGAATTTACACATCAACACAGGAAACATACAGCCAAGCATCAACTTAAAACTTGAACCGAGTCCAATCCCCTAGTTGTCAAAATCGTCGTTAGTCAGGCATAAAGAAATATAATCTGAGCCCAACATGCCTTGCTACAGTCATAACTGAAAATTTCTTTTCAGCCTAAAAAGGCTGAAACCTAAGAGTCACTCTCCTGCATTTCTGTACTGTAAGAACTCAAGGACATCTGAGTAACTTTGCTATATAAATATAAGAAAGAAGCTGAAAGTAAACAGATATGCTGAAATCACTCAACTTTGGGAAGGTATACAGTACCTTCATAATATCTTGCAGAGAGTTGACCAAAAAACACCAATAAAATGTAGGTCTCTGTCTTGGACAAAGAGGAAGAACTTGAACTAACGCATACTAAGGTTTTGAACCATACTGAAGAACTGTAACAGCACCATAAGACACAGTTACAGGAGTGCAGGCTTCCGGCCCTAAAACTGGCCTCAGATTGACCTTAATGAGTCTGTGGGATGCCACAACTTCTTTGAATCTGTTTCCATATCCACCTTTGTTATGGAACTGAGTAGGAACTCTTACATTTATATTAATTTCACTATAAAGGTATGAAAGCAGTTACTCTTGATAGATACACACACTAAAATTTTAATATAGTATAGATAAAACTAATTTTCCCATGCACTTCATATGGAAATAGTTTTTATCTTTTCATACTCCCCATTCTTCCTTCCCTTTCCATTCCTCATTTTTCAGTCCTCTGGCTTGTATTATGCCTCCAGGTTTTCCAGAGCAGACACATGAAGACTTCTGGAAGTTCTGAATTTTCTGAACCAATTGGGAATAGAATAGATTGGAAAAGCAATGCAACTGGAGTCAAACCCTCATTACGATTCAGGTATCATTATCATCAGGTATCAGTGTCATTTGCAAATGACACTGATAAGTATTGTTTAATTTGAGTGCTAAGCAAAGGATGTTTCAAGAAATTTTCACATTTTCTCAAAGTTTAGCCACCAGTTGTGCAGTTGTGATCTCAGTTCATTCCCCATGATAATGTCTTCACACTAAAGGAAACATCACCACATTTTCTACATATGTCAGCAGAAGCTTTAAGCTGTCATTTAGTTAGCAAGAGCTACCTTTTGAGTAGAAGATCACAGTTTTGTTCAAGACCTGGCACAATAAAATCTACACGAGTAAGGGATGTCCTCAGCCCAGTTACATGGTGTCCTGGCTATGCAGCAAGGCACAGTATGGTGAGCACAGAAAAAAAGTTTAGAAAAACGATGATTTTGGAAAACAGAGCAAATACAGTAACATCAGTAACCAGAAAAGGAGGAACAGCACTGGCATTCTGCAAATAGAAAGATACAAGATAAAAGCTGCATTTCAAAGATCTTCGTTTTTACTTCTGTGGAAGAAACATTGATGATCAAAGCGTCAAACTGAATGGGACAAAATCTCCTAGCAAGAACAGGCTACCTCTGACAGAAGCGCTGAGTACAAGCAAATATTCCCCCAGATCATGCTGAGTTTTGCTGCCAATTCGTCAACAGTCTGCCAACAGAATAAAGATGAATAAAGGGAAAAGAGGTTGTTCATTCACAGAAATGCTGTGCTATGCATGCTGTGTGTATGAACAATAAGTTACTCAACTCTCTCTGTGAGCCTCAGAAAGTGTGATCCAAGAGGAGCGACGGCAGAACGTCAGCATCATTTCCCCGGATCGAGAACACCACAGAGAAGGGATGAAGAAGGAAGATTTGTCTGAAGATACATGCTGAACCACCTGCTCAAAGAGACTGACTGCTGACTATCAGTTTACACTGTGGAGATACCCACACGGCTGTGAAATATTGATCTTTTCAGTGCATGTATTTCCTTAAGAAAAAAGTCTGATAGAACATGACTGTTCTATTATTTTAAATACTTAGGAAAAAAGATATTTCCATTCCTGTTGCAGGAAAAACTGAGGACACCGCTCTTATTAAGAGAAACTGAGCTGTGTTGCTTGCTCTAGTAATGCAAATTTGGAAAAAAAAATACTTCCTATAAAGACAGTCCATTAATCAAATAATTTTCTACCTCATTTTTTTGAAGGAAAAGTTTATCCACTGTATTAAAAATCAAACACCTTACTGAAAAAGTTGCCTGGTGATACGATACAGTTGTAAAGTCAATGTTCCAGTAAATGTTTTATGAAAACTATAAACCTTGGCTGAAATAAGAAGTGAGGTAGCACAGGGGTAGTGCTGTAAAATAAATTATTAAAAATTAAATAATTTTAGTGTCTCTCAGCATTTTTTTTTTGAGCTGACTGTATGGTACCCTTACCATCATTAGGAGGGAGAACTAGTTTTGAAAAGGAAAACTTCAATATAAATATGATATTTGCTTTGGGTTTAATCGACCCAACTTTAATAAGCATTCCATTTGCTATTCCCATTTCTTTCCTTAGGAAGTAAAGAAGTTCACATACAGTTGAGTGACTAGCAGGTAACAAGCTTGTATGGATCAGCTGAGCTGCAAACACTGCCGTATCATGGCTGGCAAAAATATAGTAACAAATCATAGCACAATGTTTTTCCACTGACATCTTACCTGAATTTTTCCCCATATGCCTGATACAGAAAACAAACACGTGTTCAGAACACACGCGATGGCATAGCTGATGCACAGCAACATGTGTCCAAATCTTATGTCCTTTCAGAAAAAGGGACATGAAACCTAGCACTTCAAAAATTAAAACAAATTGTATCAAAAATAACATCTCAGAAACAAGAATTAGACTCAAAAAATCACAGATCCATTAACCGGTGACAATGCTATAAACTTTCTTCAGAAACACCCAAAATTTATCAAAGTGGAGATTAATCTTCAGCTGGGGGCCAACTGACTGGAAAGCAGCTTTGCAGATAAAAGACCTGGAGGCAGTAGGGGACGAGAAGCTGAATACAAGCCAGCAATGTGCTGTTGCGGGAAAGAAGCCCAACAGCATCTTGGTCTACCTTATCATCACCAGCAGGTCTACCTCAGCTCTGATGAGACCACATCTGGAGTGCTGCGTCCAGTGCTGGGCTGCCCAGTATGACAGAGATACAGACACACTGGAGTGAGTCCAGCAATGGGCCACAAAGATAATTAACGACTTGGAGCATCTGTTATCTAAGGAGAGGTTGAGAGAGATGGGACTATGCAGAATGGAGAAGAAAAGGCTCAAGGGCAACCTTACCAAAGTGTAAAAATACCCAATTTGGAAGGGGGGCAGGGAGTAAAGAACCAAACTCTTCTCAGTCATGCCCAGTGACAGGACAAGAAGTAAAAGGCAAACTGACACAAAGGAAAATCTTTTTAAACATAACTCCATCGTTGGAGACATCCGAATCTCAACTGGACAACATCCTGAGCAACTTGCTCTAGTTGACCCTGCTTTCAGCAGGAGCTGGAGTAGGAGATCTCCTAAGGTTCCTTAGGATTATATGATATTAAAGCATCAGCAAACTCAGTGATACGTGATTCAAGAGGAAATATGATTATCTCTTGGCTAATGAAAATAAAACTTAAGTAAAATAGGTTCTTACAACAAACAGACCCATTAATTTTTAGATGTCTGGGATTACTATAAAAACTTATCTAATGTAGCAGCAAAGAAGCCACAGAATATTAACAATAGGCATATCTCAATTTTATAGAATATCAAATTAGTATTTCCAGCAAAAGCAAAGCTCTAATCTGTATATTGTAACTAAGTATCTAAACTGCAGTAATCTAAAGCGTTTCATCATACTTTGAAGTACAGAATTACTATTTATGTGAGAATAGAATCACAGAATGATATGGGGTTGGAAGGGACCTCTGGAGATCACCTAGTCCAACTCCCATAGAGATACAGTATACTTAATTTTATCCACTCAAAGTGATCTCAGTAAAATAGTCCACCTCACTACAAAAAAATCATACAATTATAACCAGAACTTAATTATAAATGTATTTTCTTTATTGCAATGCCATAAAAAGGAATAAATTATTAAGAACTGGATACACCTGGGATGGCTTCACTGTAGACTACTTGATGGATCTTGCCAATTTTTATTTAACAGCATATGAAATTCCATAGCTCCCCTAAAGTACTGAAACTGCACTCTTCAGACGTGCTACTGACCATCTGGGAGCTATACAGACTTGGCACATTTTACTACAGCTTGCTAAACTTTTGAAACAAACATCTCATGCTTAGACTCCAATTTTTCAACGCCACTTCTGGGAAAACAGGATCTCTTGAACTCTTTAACAAACTCATTAAAACAAATTTATATTTCCACAAAAAAACATTTAATTGGAGATTTCTGCTAAAAAAAAAAACAACAAACACAAAACAAATGAAACAAACAAACAAAAATATCACCAAACCCTGTTCAATTTACACAGAGATCAGTTTTTGAATCCTACACACACACACATATATATATAATGCTAATAACCACTAGTGCAGATCATACTGCAGATCTAGAGTCCTGTAGCTTTACGCCGGTGGGCTTAACACGGTTGATGCTTCAGGAACAGATTGGAACAGGGCTCAGAGTGACACTGAAAATACCTGAAGGAAGATCTACTGAGGAGATGAGATGGCATCAGACTCAGACAAAATGAGACAGGCCTGCAGGACAGAGGCAGAGCACTATGTCAGGAGAACAGATAAGGCAATATAACTCCTGGGAATTCCTAGAGGCTTGGAGGGACACTCCTACAATCAGATGTTGCAGGAGGCTACGGAAGGGAAAAGG